TCTCTTGGAAGCCAGAGGAGAATTCATTTCATACATAAGACAATGTTGTCTTTTATCGCTTACTATTTATTACAAATATCGAATCCTAATTAAATTCTCGGATTATCCACTACCCGTGTCTTTTTCCGTCATTTTTATCTCAGAAAGTGTTGTATGTCTAACTCTTCATAAAGTTTATCAACTTGTACATCAAGCGCTCAATGTTCGCATGAGACCTTTGACATTACGCATGCAGAAATTCCTAATCGTCGGGCTGCTGATTAGGGAAACCCTTACATTTTTGTCCTGTATATGCTCCATGAGTGTTCTTCGGGGATTCCAGTATTTTTCTAGTAAGATTGGATATCTCTTCTTTCCATATACATGTATATACCAAAATTACCATACTTTTATTGGAAATAACCACCCGATAAATACTTTTCTGGGAACCCATCTTTCAGTGAGAATTAATGAATGATTTGTATCTATGATGCTCAAGGGGAAACTTAGCACTGTCCACCAGCCCTATGGATATATACTATAGCCCTTAAACGCTAATACATGTAGTTGGCTAATGTACAGTAATAAAAGATGGTTTCTTGTTTTTAAAGAAAAGTTTAAAAGCTGTAGGACATGCATTACATGAAGTAATGTTTTGATAATAGACATGATGAGTGATGAATTAATATAATGGGACATGTTTATTGTTCTATAATAAGAGGCTTACCTTATACATAAAATGATGTATGAATACATGTAGTTGTCTTTATGTTTGTATTTATAGAAAAATGTGAATTACAAGCAAAGAGTTTTGCAGCACAGCTTCAATATAAAAAGAGTATATATTTAACTCAAGATTTAAGCTAAAATAAAGTACTCCCAGACCTCAGCAAAGAAATCTAAACAAAGAAAAGCTCTTAGCAGCTTAAACAGTTAAATATCTATTCAGTGTTTTCCTTCAAATTTGCAATAAAGATAATAGTAAAACTTGTACATTTTTATGGTTCAGGAACAAGAATATTTCATTGAAAATGCAACAAGATGTATATTTTGCAGAATTCCTCCAGTTTGTCCTTGACAGTAAGCATGTTTCCAAGTCTGCTGGAGTCATTCCACGAGGTTGGAAAGGCGACCATAATCTTTGTCACGTACGAGTGGGGAATCAAAACCATACCACTTGACTCAATGACAGACCTTATGATCTAAAATGCACGCATTAAACCATTCGGCCACCAAATACCCAATTTTGGGATTCAAGTAAATCTTCTCATGATGTACATGTAAACCTGAGAAGTCAACTCTTCTGCATAATCTTTAGAATTTATATTTTTAACGGTTATAAAGCACGAGGGATAACATCACAGGATTCAATGCTGTTTAACAATATCTGCATTGTTTTACTAGTTTAATGAAACCAGTCACTGAGCATGTAAATGTTAACATACATAATACAAGTAGCAAATCAAGTGTGGTAATAATGTTAAATGATTGAGATTTTTTTTACAGATACATGTACATGTATGTATAATTTTTTGTCTGTTATCCACAAACATTCCCAATAAAAAGGGCCTACAGTTTTTAACCCCCTGCTGGCTAACATCTGGCAAAAAAGCTATCAGAGGCCCCAAGGGGTCCGATATTTCAGACTTCATGTAGCTTGGAGTGGGATAAATGAAGAGAATAAGAAACCAGCCAGATTATGATAACCTGTGACATCCTCTCCATGGAAGCGTGAAATTAAATAGGTTTGTCCTACTGTTCTGCTCAAACTGGGCTTATGAAGACGGTACGATGGAAGCTGGCATTAAGCACCATGTACAAATGTGCAAACAGTCATTTTAGATGTGTGGATACCAGGAACAGTAATAGAAGTAGACTAAAGTTAAACCTTACTGTATGACTAACTGGAGTACTATAATTATGATGATGTAATCTTACACCTATTTATTTAAAATCATAATCTATACTACATGTATGTAATATAATATTCTGTTCCTCTAACATTTAACGTAGTCTGATTTCTATCACAAAGAATTCTTTTATATACATGCGTCGACATACAATGTACTTAAGTTTAAAATAGAAGGCTATAATTTTCTTTAATTAACACACAAACACAAAATATTTTCTGGGCAACAAAATTCTATACAAATTGTACACGTAGTACATTTTGTACATATTTTGTTTTGAAAAGAAAGAAAGCTTTGAATATGATAGCCTACAAGAGATATCGTCTTTAATACAAGCTGATTTGTATTAAGAAAAGGATAAAGCATCTATTTCAAGATAAATGTAGCTTATCTATATATGCAAAATCAAGCATGGAAATAAATTGCCCGTCACAAACATTGTCAGGCAAAAATTCAGGCTTTGTCGGACATGTTTCCTGTAGTGCCTGCCATTTTTTTCTAAATTTTTAATACATATCCGACACAAAATGTCAGGTTTAGTTCATTAGTGCCTGACATTTTGTATTATTTACAGGCCTGACATTCTGTATTACATGTATTTCCAGGCCTGCTACATGTATATCTGCAAATTTTATATCAAGAGAGTTTCAGAACAAGAAGCAAACTGATTTGCATAATTTGTATATTAATAAGCTTAATAAATAAATATAACAAATCAACAGCATGTTTGTTAGAACAACAAAGCACAATAATTAACATGAAAACATGTACACTGGAGCTTCACTATATGCTGGTGTTTTGGGGTCCACTGATGCTAATGAGGATCCTTTGAGTGGTCTCAGACTAAACCCTGTCTTACCGTGAACCACACTATAGTGACGTTCCAGTATAACTCATAGAGAATAACATACTGAATATATATATGGACTAGAGGCGTACATTGTACATGTACGTCATATATTTGATCACTAATTAATTAAGATTGATTGACAGGTGTCATGTTACTTACAATCACAGTAGGTACAGGTATATTAACAAAGAGCTAGAGAAGCCAAAATAAACACAAAATTAAACTTTTTTCAAATTATTTTATATAAAATAAAACAAAATTAAAATTAAACGTCACAAAGCAACCAAAACAATGTGGCAGTTGAAGAAGACATCTTTGATTCAGGATACATGTAATTAAATTGTTCAAATGGAGTATTCGGATGTGTTAAGGTCTGTTGATAAATGATGGGAAAATAATCTCTACTTTAATTTTGTTAGAGCAAGTGGAAGATGGTGTGTTGGTTATATTTTCTAATTTTTTTTACATGAACATCTATATATACTTTCTAATGTTGAATAAAGAATGGTTACATTTCAACATGTTAATAACCTGTGTGTACAATCTTTAACGAAGAAAGATAGCCACATCAAAAGAATTTATTGAAACTTACATTTTCACCCAAATCAAAGAGGTCCTCTCTATTTAAAATTATGAAATAGACAAATTGTAAATTACCAGGTAAAAAAATTTGATGTTATATGTTACAAGTCAAGTGTTATTGTTACATTACACGGAACTTGGTTAATGCACAGGGCAAATAGAAAATCGAGCTGTGATGGTAGGAGGTGCTGTGGTGCATAACACCCTTTTCTATCCATCAAGTTACTACTGGCTGGCCACACACCCTTTTTTGGCAGGATCTGGCATGCAATTTTTATGTTACTCTACTTATCTTCACTTAACCCGCAAACGGCAACTCTATTTATTTCAAATGAGGTGAATTTAACATCAATTCAATCTGTGTATACAGGTATTTTTTAGCACAGCAGATTTCACACCTAGACATGTTACAATATCTTTTACGACTGCAATAAGTATTCCATTAACTATTCTCCACCAGTTTATAGCACGCAATGTCTGCACCCTTTATATGTACACTTTCAGTGTTTTTTCTGGATAAGCCAGATGCCAATTTTTTCTCTTTTTTTTTTATTATCAAAGCGACGCCACATGAACAAATTTTTACACGTTTACCAGCAAACAACAGTCGATATCATTTCCCTTACATAAACATATTTGTTTTGCAGTTTAAATATATGGCATCAAGAAAGATATTTGTACATTGTGTGCCTTTTAAACTACAAGTCAAAAGTTGATTGTAGACAAATTCTTGAAACTTCGAAATTGATACTTATATTAAAGACGTACACGTATTTTATTATCACGTTAACAAAGACTGTTGATCACTCTAGGTGAATTAATTTTGAACCTACATTTCAGCTTTTTAACATTATTAACAAGCAATTCTGGATTCATTTTTACTTCCACCATTGGTCTGTTAAACTAATTTCACCCCTTAAGCCCTAAGTAATCAATTTAAAATTATACTTTAGGACAATTTAAAAATGAAACATGTGTTGTCTACAGTAGATCACAGTCAAGTGGTTTAACATTCCAAAGCAACTAAAAACTTAATAAGCAGTTAATTATTCACATAATCAATGTGTACAACTGTATTTCACGGTTCAAATGAGATATTTATGGAAAGGAGTTAAAAGCACTGAACATCTAGAGTCTTTCCTTCAACAAAAGAGAATGGGTATTTTTCTTAAGTTGTCCATCATGCTCAAAGATCATGCTGAATGAGTCACAATTATTTAATTTTAAATTTTTTTTTTCTTTTCTGCAAATTTTTTGAACTGTTACATGTACATCCAAGCATGTACTTAATTATGTAGGTCCCAAAAGATTAAGAAAAAAATTGTTTATATCATATCACATAACCTAAATATACCCAATATATTTGTAAATGTAAATATACATTCAGTTTCTTTAATTTAACCTACATGTATGCCATAAACATATGTTGCACTTCAAAGAAAAGTCGACAATTCATTGATATGATAATCAAGAGAGCAAATTATATTTGATATTTTTCAAAAAGACAACAGGTCTTTCAATTCTCTTTGATCAGTGGCCTTTACTTATGCACATACTAACTAAATGGACCTTAAACAATTGTGACATCTATTCATAGAGAGATTAATATGTTGAAAGCGAGTTGGAACTTTAAAATCAATGGACTCATATATATATATATATCTGAATTATTAACATACACTGTTGGTGCATTGGGGAAATGTTACCACATTTTGTAATGTCATACACATTATCTGCTGAAATGGACAAGAAAAGCCGTCAATAACTTGTTGAATGACAGCTCCTGTTAGTTTCATTGTAGAATTCATTTAGACCAATAATAATTCTGTGAATTGAGGCGTTTATCACTTCCTACATATGTACAGTAGGTTGCTTATCAAATATCAAGAAACTTTAATTTAGTGTTGAAATATTTGATTACATTTCCTGTTTTAACCTAATTTAATTTTACAATCAGAACAAATGAATCATTCGTAGTATGTCTGTTACATGTCATGGTCTTACAATGTTAAGCTGTTTCATTACCATCTTCCCAGTAGTTGCTCCATTAACTAGATAAATACTGGTTGTTATTTTTTTTTAAAGAAACAGCCTTTTAAACTCTAAATGAAAAGTTATAACTTTTAATTGTCTTTCATCTACATGTACATGTAATGTGTTTTAAGTGTTCTAGAACCACTGAATTTGCTAATCCTTCTTATTGCAGATACATTTTTGATCAGATTCATGCATGCAATAACAGAATAATAAAAACATATGTTGTTTAACGAACGCAAATTCTGAAATTCAAAGTGCTGATCATCATTTTTGGATAATATCCATGTTAAAATGTACTCAAATTGATTATTGAACATTTTAATTAAGAAAACAAAATAAAAATATCAATGTCCTCAGCCTGGATTCCATCGAATTAAAAAGAGGTTAATAAAAGATATTAGGTGGTCCTGGCTTGCTATTGGAACATAACTTGTTTTTATATCATCTGCAGAAGATGATGAATGTAGACAAATTTTAAATTCATCATGTCTTTGTAAACACCAAATGGAATTGAACAATATTTGGACTGATATATGTACATGTATTCCTTTTAGAATCTATTAAGACTATTTAGAGGTCCAACGTTAATAAAACGCTAGTGTGCAAGAGATTAACATCCCTAAAATGATGATCAGAGACTTCAAATTTAGAGGAGTCTATATCAAATCTCAGTATATCAAATTAATATTATGACTACCAAATTCCGATTCTAATTTTTAAAGTTATTCTTATTTCAAAGTCTTTAGTAAATATGGATATTTGAAACTTTGATAACATCTCTTACTTTAACTGAATTTCATTCTTGTTTTAAAAAAATTCTGCATTTATCAAGACTTGAATAATATAATTTTGCTATGTAATCCTATTCTAAATTGTTGTTAATTGGAAGAAAGGTAATAATCAATTACATGTATATCCAAATCTATCCAAAATGTCTTGAAATCATAAAATTATAATTAAAAATGATTATGTATTTCCTAACTCTACATGTATTTCTGGGATGACGAATGCTTTATAACCATTAACAGTAACTGGATTGTGCATTACATGTAAACTTTACATTCACCAAAACATGTGCATTAATGCTATGTTCTAATGTTGAGCACATAAAACCCATCAAACTACATTTGTAGAACCATTAAGTTATATTCCTTAAGATAGAAAATAACAGATTTGGAACCTCTTAGAACTAAAGTTGGAAAGGATTTTAGGTAATTAATTATGATCATGAATCATAATGCAGGTTTTTTGATATTTTACAGCATTCTCTATTACAAATATTACATTTAAGACCTATGGTGTATATAATTACATGTATATATAAAAACAGAGCATTTAAGCAGGTATACTTACTCTAGAACTTCTAGTAGCCTTCGGATCAAGGTATGTCCGTAATTTATCTAAATATACATGAGGAGGATCCTTAGCATGCACACGTTCCTGAAATAAAAATAAAACCTTATGAAAGTCAATAACAATTTAATAAAGAAACTTGTGTCAACAGGCCTGGCAATAAGGCACTTGTAACAGACAATGTCATGCACAAATTCAGGCATTGTCAAGCATGATCCAATCTGATTAAACTACAGATCTATATTTCGTTTCGTTTTTTTTTTTATACTTTCGATGACCTACATGTACACTACATGAAGATCTGACCAGTTGTAGACAGTGGAAGGTTGTGTCTGAGTCATACGAGCGGTTTTTGACCCTATGACGTCATACAGTAATTAATCAACCAGCGTTAACGTTTTAAGTGGTTCGCCCAGTTCAATGCATAGCCAATCTGATTAAAATACAGATCTATATTTCTTTTCGTTTTTTTTATATTTTCGATGGCCTACACTACAAGAAGATCTGACCGGTTTTAGTGGAAGATCGCGTCAGGTTTCATACATGCGTCTTTTGACCTTATGACGTCAGAAAGTGATTAATCGATCAGCGTTGACATTTCTAGTGGTTTACCCACAGTTCCTTGCACCTCATGCCATCATCCAGAATGTCGGTTATATAACAACTCTTCCAGATCCTAGTGTAATAAAGACAAGTAAAACAAAATTTTGAACTATAAAAAACAAAACGAAATAGGATCTGTGTTTTAATCAGAGTGTGCCTTTAATATTTCATTTAATTCAGAAATCATTCATTGGTTCATTTTTCGTGTATTTTCAGATTTCTAGAAATAGTGAATCATTGAAATCTAGTCATTTTCAGAATACATGTAGGTTAATCTAAAAATGTCTTATTTCTGTTTTTGTCAATGTCAGCAGTATGCATCATTATTCATTGATTACACATGCATGTTAAACAAAATGTAAAAGTCCCAATGAACAGTACATTGTATTGGCTTCAAGGCATTCTATAAATGCATTTTATTATAATCACTAATACCTGTACACATACTACATATACATGTATATGTAGCTGATTTCAATGATTTGATAAAACGAAACAGGTTTAACATCCTACTTTTCTGCTCCATATAAGGGCTAATGAAGATGGGCATACTCATGTATGTAATGCAGTGAGCTTCAAGTGAAATTTTATCCAAATACATGTAACACTAATATAATCTGATATCAAATTACATGTAACACTAATATAATCTGATATCAAATTACATGTAACACTAATATAATCTGATATCAAATTACATGTAACACTAATATAATCTGATATCAAATTACAACTGTCAAGGGTTCCTTTTACATGCATGCTAAGGTGTAAACAGGATCTGGGTTTTTTGTCCAATCCAAATGATTGGACACTGTTCCTTGCCAGACCCTCTGTCCTGCACCACTGATGAGGGGAAACCACGCCGGAAAATCCAGATAATTTTTCTCTGCCAACATCTCGATATCGTCATACATGTATACCGTACATTAAAAAACTTATTACAAACTTGTAAAATTTTATCTACATCATGCATTGGGCAACTGGCATTATTTTATGAGCTCTGCAGTACAAGTCTTAAAGTGTACATGGATTTAATATAATTACTTCTAGACATAATGTTGACTTTAACTTAAAACTAACAAGAAATCTTTATGCTGTTAAAAGCAGCCCCGCCCAGTTTCTCAACTAGTGTAATATCATAAATGTTAGATAAGTGACTAGTGTGAACAAGTCAAGATAACAATGTCAAGTTTTATGTTTGAACGACTGTTCAATGTAAAACGTTTTAACAGACAGCAGTGCTGTAATACACTACACTACACAGAATCAAGTTAAACCTCATTTCTTAAAAGAGACCAAAGGATAAATTTATTATGAAGGACGTAAAGCAGCTGGGAGGCGTAAAAACTTCACTAATATAAATCATTTCGCATAGCTTAAGTAATGTTTACTTTAATATTATAACTTTGATAGCATATTTTACATTCTCTCGTTTCAGTTCAAAGACTTTGTGATTATTATTAGTTGGTAAGCTAGCTTAGATCAATCCTCTAAATTTACTTGTGGCTTGACCTTTCAACAAGCTGACCTCATAATAATATCATCTAGACACTTACAGCCAGCCTCTTAGTTCAGATTTTTTTTAATTCTATCAACTGATTTCAGTCAGAAAATTGGTGAAGGCCAACAATTATTTGATGTACATGATTTTTCAACCCTGTCGTTAAATATTAATGCCAAAGTTAATAATAGAACCTTACTAATGCAATGTCTACAAAATTATATGTATATTACACGCACATGTACATATCCATGTATATTTGATAAAGGAGCAAAAAGTTACTACATGTAACATACGCTTGGTGTCGAATATAGATGTACTGTACATGTGTAGCTCAAGATATTTTATGGTCTACTAGCATTACGCTAAAAATATTAATATATGGTACATGATCTTTATTTCAATAAATCACATGATAAAAGAGAGCCTGGAGAAAACCCATTACGTTAAATAGGTATGGGTAATTATCGATCCTACTTTTTGTCAAACACAAACGTAGGACAGGTACATGTACATGTGGTCCTGTGATTATTCCTAGTGCAGACCGACAAAGTTATTCTGGAATTTCCAGCCTAGTTTCTACTTGTCATTAGTGCAGGACAGAGGACCTAGTGTTCAAAAGAAAACATTGGCATGTACATCAAAAACAATCGACAGTAGTAATTTGAAGAAGAATACACAAAATCACTACTGTTATGGTATAATCATACTAAACTTAGGCTGCCTGTCTAGTCTACAGTTGAGAAAAGACACAAAGCTAGTTGACTGATATTTTAAGTCCTAAATCAATGATTTTAGTTGAAAACACTAAGTATACTTCAAGAATTTTGTTGTAGGCTATTTATTCTGCTTACATTTTATAAAATTGAAAAAGTTTATTAAATCTTTGTGTGTATAATGGATGTGAAATGGAGTAGAACTGCATTACAAAACAGTATACCAATGTTTGGATATGGCGACCATTTAGAGCAGAGATCTATTCTTGGAGTATCAAGTACATGTAGATGGATCTCTGTGTGCAGAATGTGGCATAATTTCACTCATACATGTACATGTGAAGGGTATAAAGTGACTGACATCTTACCTCTGAGGGCGTTAATGTCTCAGTTCACGCATTGCATACATTAAATTTTCTAGATCTAGAACAATAGCATATCATTTCATGAATGGGAATACAATTTCAACATTAACCTTTTTTACCTCACACTTATTCTATTCAAGTTGTCAATCAAGACCAAAATATGACCTACAAATTGAATTCGAAACCCAAACCTAGACCATACATGAAGCAATATATTTGATCATGCAGACAAACCCAATTTTTCAGACAAACCCATGAATTTTTGATAACAATGAAAAACATGTTTCAGGAGTAAGAATTTCAGACAGGATAAACAGAAACTTCTTTGTTATCAAACTTTTTGTTTTTATAGAAATCTTATCCCGAGTGTAGACTGTAGAAATGTTGCTACCGAGCTTGTACCTCCAGGGAATGTTGGGTCTTGTTGACCGATACTGTACGTTTATCAATAAATGTGTTGTAATAATCAACATGAATCAAAATATGTACACAATAAGTGCAGCTACATGTACATGTATAAGCCACATACCTAATATTTGAATACTTAACCAAAGAAAAACCTATATTTAGAGTAAAAATTTGACAACCTGGCTATATCAATGTGACTTTAGTTAAATTAGTTTGATGTGACTATTTCATGTTGAACAGAAAAAATAAAACACAAACTCTCTGCGTTTGTGATGCATAAATTTACATGGAACAACCAGATAGCCTACCAATACCATGGCAGGGCTGAAACTAATGTTTTAGAAAGTTACATGTACATGTACATTAACACTCATCCAGTGGCCACTTGTTAAAGAGATATTTTCATTAAGTTGTTAGCAAATATTTTCATTTACATGTATGCAATGAACACTAATTAGACAGGGATCACGGTGGTTAAGTGGGTAAGACGCTGGCTCGCTAGCCTGGTGGTTGGGTGTTCGATCCCTGCATTGCCCGATAAAGTTCATCCAGATTTTCCGGCGTGGTTTCTCCTTGACAGTGATGCAGGACGGAGGGCCTGACAAGGACAGCTGTTTAGTCGTTCGGGGCAAAATTTCCCTCATAGCACACTGTATGGCGTATGCCGGTCTTCATTAGCCCAGTTTAGGAGCAGAACAGTAGGACATTAAACTCCATTTCATTTCTTTTCACTAATTAGACAATACAATTCTATTGAGGGATTGTATTTATACATGTAGTACATTAGTCCGTATTGTCTTTAGTTCAATGATCACTAACTAGTCCATATTTTCATTAGTCCGGTGGTCACTAATTATGCAATATTTTCATATAGTGCGGCATACATGTACATGTAAATCAATATTATGTAATCTGAGAAAACGTTAAATGAAGTACATGTAGTTTGTTGCGCTGATCATAAGGGGATTCCTGTTAGTCTACAGAATAGTTTTTGGTCTGTGACTAATGCTAATTTCAAATACTGCAGTAGAAGCAGACTTAAACATCAACCAACTAGTCAGTCAGTCTTCTAGTTTTTTGTATCCAAGTTACCATTATATCTTATCTCTAGTATATCTCTACCCCAATACTTATCTATTAATTAATAGTTTGATACTAAACGTGTACCTTACGGCTTTACTGTAAGTACATGTAACCAAATCATAGCCTACTACTAGAGATCTCACATCAATTTATACATTGACTTACTCAGTAGAAAGCAAATGGCTATCTGTACATGTATATTATCAGCTACTTACCTGGTCACAGATCAGATCCCATTTCTTTTCATCATCATAGTTTTTAAGTACTCTTGCTTTATCTGGTGGTAGATCCATTGATGCCTATAAAAACAAACATATACCCATTTACTATTATAACATGCTCCATTATATTAATACTACATCAATCATTGATAAAGAAGGCTCGCTAAATATATCGGAACTTTCATTTAGCTGATAAACAAATTTTGGTATCAAGTTTAAAAGTAGCTGATTGTCATCTGAGTGGTTTCGAATTCCTTGCTACACTACAATGTTTTGTATTATTAAATTCTTACATTGTATCTCGCAGAACAATATTCTACTGCGACACAGGATGTACATAGGCATTATTGTCCGTAATTTGCAATTTTTGTGTAGTTTTTCTTGTCCGTAGATTTGTCTTATCGGTTTTGTATGCATGCAGTGTGCTTCTCTTGCACTTACTATTACAGACCATACATGTATACATATGTTTGTACTTTGATAGGAGCCACAGTGGCTCAGTGTGTATGGTGATGGTCCACTAACAAGGAGGTCCTGGTTCAATCCTGGTGTTGGCCGAGAAAGTTTCACCAAGATTTTCCAGCATTGTTTCCCCTTGTCAGTGATGGAGGATCTGGCAAGGAACAGCACCTAGTTGTTTGGATGGGAAGAACAACCAAGATCCTGTGTGTACACTTTGGCATGCATATACATGAACCCTTGACAGTTATTATATGTATCTAGGCCCAAATTTCCCTACCAGCACACTGCATGGTGTATGTCTATCTTCATTAGCTTGATCGAAGAGGAAATGTACATGTAGGACACAAAACTACATTTCATTCAATTTTCAGTGTACACATGTACTTTGATGATGCTCGATTCAAGACACAAAGATAGAAAAGTCAAGTACAAGTAAGAAATTAAGAGCAAAGGAAATCTGTGCTAGTGTTAAAAATCCCTTCTTGTGTGTGGAGATTTAAACAGCTTGAACAGTTCTCTATACATTTTACACATCTTGTAACAGCTGAAAACAACATGTGCACTTTCTATATTTAACTTTTAACTGTCATTTGATATTTGTGTGGTGTTAAACAAGGAAGAAATTTACAACATTTTAGACGTCTACATGTAGTATTATCTAATGTGATTGTTACACATACTCTTTCGTATTCGCTATTGGGGATTTGAAACTTGACTTAACAATGCAATATGTTTGATTTAGATAAAGACTTGACAGTTCTCCTTATAATAGTTTAAAAATAGATACATTGTCACAAAAAAGGACTATATCAAAAATTTCAGTCAAACTACTTCATTCTGAGCGAAGTTATGACTGTTTGAAGAATAGTGTACATGTACGTGTACACATGTAGTCTTGATTTTCATTGGTACCACTGTTACAATAATCAACAAAGTCTTGATTATCCATTTTCAAACTAATTTATTAAATGATGGGGTTTCCAATCCATTCAAAATCACAATCATCCAATGATCCAGAGAATTAATCATGGGCTTGTCATGTGAACAAATGACTAATAATTTATATGCATTAAAATTTGAGGCCAAAAAAAAAAGATCTACAATAGACAGATTTAGCTCTTACATAATGCATCTTTAAGAAATGACTAAAACATAAATCCGGCAGCCTTTTATCACACCCGTCAAACGTTAAACCCCATTTCATAACATTTCATGTTATCATAAAGTAGTGATACTGGTTTTAATTTTGTAAAATAAAACAACAGTGCCTTTCCTGTCTACCCTCAGCTTCACCCACCTCACTCAAAACTCATTAATATGTACATGTATACCGGTATACAATGTATTATACATGTATACTAATTCAACTTATTGAATCAATATCTATAACTCTAATTGCCTAATGAATTTTGATTAGCATTTATGTATTAATGTATATGTACACTGTATGTGTTCTTTGATTCCAATGTATACAGTTTGATAAAACACTGGGATAACAGTACAAAATTCATGATATTTTTGTTTGTACAGTAATATCATCATACAGAACCATATGGCATATCCCAGGTACTACAGAAATTATATCAACTTCAAGAGTCCTATCCCACGCATACTTGACAACTAATTGACTACATATGTATGTTAAGTATTAATTAATTCTACTTTTAGAATGAACCTGGTTTCAATCTGGAGAGCACCTTATCAGGTGAAAAGCCGAGAAACAATGAAAGTGTGATCAGGTATAATGTACGATATCTGATTTATATACTGATCCAAGGTTTAAAAAACCCCAACATGTTTCAGAGCTCAGAGCTACATGTATGTGTCGGCATGCAATGTATATGTACATGTAATCCACTTGATTAAATAGGTAATATTTTTATTAGTCCACAGTAGAAATAATTTGTCTGACATTTTTAATTTATGTAGCACCTGTACTCAAAACTATACAAAGTCAGAAAAAGACTTTGCTATTGTATTTGATTGTTACACTGTTAATGGAATTAATAAGGAAAAAAATAAGTACCGGTAAGCTTACATAATAACACTTTTTTAAGAAATATAATTAGGCTGTCAGTTTGATGCTACATGTACAAATGTTCGTGATTGAATGGGACCAGGGGATTTCTGTTCATCCATGTGAAAACATATTACCTAGACTAAGTGACTACTTGTAATTTTGAAACCTGCTGGTAATGCATACCTGTACATATTGGAATTAAATGTCTGCAAACTGCACATGAAATGTGAGTTTCTACTTTGACATGAACATAAAATTCCCAATACACTAAATCTAGAATGTACAATAAACGTTAAACCTAAATTCTTTCCTTTCTTTGTTAATTAATCAGTTAATTAGTTCAAACTACTTAATTACATACATAATTTGTATCAAAGGTCCACTATTCCAGAATAAAAGCCAAATATACACTATCATCCAATACATCAGTAATAAAACTGAGTTCTGTACAAACATACTGCGTACATGTACAGAGTGTGACATCATTTAAAAAATCATAGCCTGTCAATCGATGCACAATTGTCCAAAGAACAAGCATGCCTAGTTACTTGGCGATCATACTCTAATTGACAGATCCAAAGGGTTTTTTTTTTCTGTAAAAGTGTAGCGCTGAGATCAAGAAGATTACCAGTACCAAAAAGATACCCGGCACATGTGACATGTCCTACATGTACATGTAATGGCCCAATTATTAAAATCTATCAATCTTAACTTATGTCTATCTGAAGTTCATACATTTATTCTCATGGTGTGTCTGAGAATGATAATACCTTATTAAATTTAACAAGGAAAATGTTTATTACATCATTAATACATGTATGTTTTGGTCAATTAATAAAATGACTGATAAATAAAGACAAGGTAAATATTGTCCTAAGGCCAACTTCTACTTTAAAAGAAAGAATGCAGTTGGTCTGAGTGGTTAATATGTTTTGACATGGGATCAAGCTGGATAAGATCGGTTGATAAATGCTAAACCACCAAACATTTTATCAAAAATAGACTGGTTTTTTACTGGCCTTACTCAGCTTAGTCCACTTGAGATTATCTTGGGAGTAAAACCGTGTTGAAATGTAACAACAGATGCTTGGTATTTTAGCCACAAACGTGCTGTATCATGGAGGATTTACACTTCATTCAAAACAATTGTACAGTATGTATGTACCTGAATAAATAAATGATGTCTTGTTTAATATCTTACACATGTACTTTTCTGTATAAAACATGCCTAAGATGGACAAACTCCATGTAGCATGTATGGGGAATATTTTGATCGGACAGTGGCGCTAGTGCCTACCGACACCCTTTTCCAACTTTCAGGAGATCTTTACCACCCTGGCAATTGAACTCTGTCTTTTGGACAATCCAAACGACTTGATTCTTGTCTTTGCCAGGTCCTCCATAATGCTGGGATCGAACCTGAGATCGAACCAGAGTGACATCTATATTTCATTAAGTAAGCTTATAGACAATGATAAACAATTTATGACCCCTCAGCACTGCCATTGTACTTTTACAAACATTGCCACATACGTCCACATGTACAAAATGTATACAAATTTGACAATCTTGTGCATTCCCTGTACGTACATGTACAATGATGTCTTAATAAAGCAACGTTTGTGTGCAGCTACTCAGAACAGAGTCTGTAGTCGCTAGAATCAATATAAAGTTTATGACATTAATATTTATGACCTACAAGTATGTCATAAATAGGTTTAATGATCTTTGGCAAAAGTGTATGTTGAGTTATAGTCGTACAGATGGAATGGACCCAGGGAGAAGAAATTAAAGTTTAAAGATGCATTATGCAATGTCTACATGAACATATAAATCTGCCTATTATTGCAGGACTATTTTCTGGCTTCAAATGTTATATAAATTATGTATGTATGTATTTAGACATTTATTCAAATGACAAGCCCATAATCAACTCTCTAGACCATCAGATGGGAGAGGTTACGTGTTATTTTAAAAAAAAACTGGGCATCATCATCATCATTCAGTAGATTTTTGACTATCCCTTGGCTAAGAAAAAGTATTAGGCATGTATAGAATTTTAATGACAAAAATGTTGGTTTATATTATAATGTATCATATAAATGTTCAGTCAAGTGTGTGCAGCTTACTCACTGACCTTAAAAGGTAATTTACATGTACTCACAAATAATACATTACATGTACAGTAAGCTGTGTAAAATCGTGTTTCTTTTCATCCCACTGCTTAGGAATTGGATCTGAAAATTGTCATTTCAGATATTCAATACACACACAATGCTTTAAGCCGACTGAAGATGTGACATCAATTCATATGGTTTGATAATATTTAATATCTGTAGTCAGGTATTTTTTGCATGTTGTAATTATAAAATTCATCAATTTCTATAGGGATTAGCAAATAATCATTAATCTGTACATGTATGTTATAAAAACAGGAGGTTTCTCATTTTTTTTTCAATTTGTAAACATAGACTATTCATAAATGATCGATAAACAATTATGTCATAAAACAGTCTTGTTTACTCGAGTGCTGAACACATGTATCTGTCAAGGCTTACACTAGAATATCCAATCACAAGGTGTACATACATGTACATGTACATGTATATGTACATCCAAAGAATGGTACATGTATATATGTACATGTACGTTACATTGTCTATATTTCACATACCAGATGGCAGTCGACGTACATGTATTACACTGTTTGTTTGTTGCTGAGAGTACATAGTTAACCGGAAATACATGTATATGTAAGAGATTCACAAAGATTCAACAAATTTCTTGAAATTTCAAAACTAAAACATTTTGACAGGTCAATGATTAAGGATATTAATAAACTAATTAATTGGTGTAGGTAAATAAAATGTTATATACTATTTGTTCTTATTGACAACTATTACAGGTATAGGACTTTTCTAACATTTAAACCAAACTGAAAATGATCAAAATACTCTTAAATCTACAGTATAATTAATTGTAGCATTACATGTACATGTAAATCTCGAAATGCCATTCTTAAGGTGGGTTTTATAATGAAGAGACAGGCTGTGAATATTGTTTACATATATACATGTAGTCATCTACCTGTCATCTTGTATTCAATTATTAATCAGTTTGTGTCACATGTGTCACTGCCAACCGTAACACTAACTGCTATTACAAACAATGTCATGTAAAATAGGTCAATCAACATATTTTCATTCATAGTCACTGAATCAATAAATGTAGAAATTCCAAGGTATATGACTACAGTCACATTAGAATTTACATTGAAAAAAAACATTAATTGTTGAAAAGGTATGAGAAATCTGTGCCGTCACCATGCTGAAACTAATTTTGTTTTTCACATTTTCATTCACAAAAAAAAAAAAAATTGCAAAACTAGCATGAGTCATGAATTACACAAATTTTTTTAATTATTGTTAAACATATGCTGTATACGGTACTACTACATAGTACATACACTGTACATGTCATGTAATTTATAGGTTATAGATGGTCTAGAAAGGAACCCTAGATATTATCGCATGTCCGCCGAGCTAAAAAGAACTAAATCAAGGTTTAACTGTGAAGGAAATCATAAAATGGTCTTCTAATTTCATGTTACAGTTATAAACATTATACATCTATGTATTAACAGCTTCTGTGGAAGAGTGTGTGTTTTGTATCAAATTACAACATCTGTCAATCACTTTGTTATACTTTAAAAACTAGTTACACTTCTCAGTTTGTAACCAACTGTCACTTGTCAGTGAAATCTGCCGTTATACTTAACTATAACATGTAAATACACTAAAATAGGTTACCGTAACACAGAAGTACTAAGTAGTCTACAACTTTTGCTTTACAATTAATTACAATCTGCGGTGCTCTCAGTGGAATTGCTCCACAGCTCGAGTCCAGTGTTGAAGAATTTTTTTTATATATATAAAACACAAATAATAATGGCAATGATATATTAATGATAGTTATATCATGTTGACCATATCTTACCAAAACTTTGGTAAAGCGCCGTTCCAATTCGGATGTATCTGGCATCGGTAATCTGATTGGCATCGAGGCCTTTCGTTGTTCTGGCCGATGCAATTCATGGCTGCTTTCGGAATTCCCCATTCTTTTCATTGGTGTCGCTTTGTTAGGTCACAGTACTATATCCCTTTTCGATATATGAATGATATACACACATTATCAGCTCGGAAGAAAGCGATTTTTACGTTTTCTACCCATAACAGTTCATTATTTCAGTACTTCAATAACAGGGCGGAAATTGTCATGTAGGGTGCGCTGCGAGTGACTCATCGTTCATTCTCGCGAGAGTTTCACTATCGTAATGCACAGTAGAAGAATTTAAGACGCTTTGACTATGAATATGATGTAAACTAAATTTCGGACTTTTCTAATGTAACAATTTTCTAAATTATCATATCAACAGATTGTGAAAAGCACCTAAGAAGGACGAACATTTCATAAGTCACCACTTTTAAGAGGGAAATTAAAATACAATGGAATTCATATATTTTTTTTGTCTACGGTATAAGGGAGACAACTACACTTTTGTGACGTTAAAAGGTGCGATTTAACGGTGGTGACTGACACCGACAACAAAGGAAATTCCCACTGACTCCGGCATTGAATTCCCCTTCCTTGCCCTGCTCAACGTATTCGACTAGCCACAGTAGTACTACCGAGACTACAGTGGAACCAACAGACTATAAGATGTGAGATAGGTGTCAAATGAAATATTTAGTTAATTTCGCTAGCCAGAAGATAATAAACTGTTTTTGACAAAAACATGAAATGGGGGTTAACATTCTACTTTTCTGTACCAACCGGGTTAATAAAGACGAGCAGCTGTCTCGATTAACACTGGGAGCGAACCATGAATCTCCTGGTTAGTAGGCCAGCGGCTTACTCACTGAGTCACAGTCTACAATTCATTCCGGGCCATTCTGATTTTTAAAGTGTGTATGCCTATCTAGCTTTTCGAGTATGGAGTTTGTCACACCAACTGTGATCATAGGCCTTGTTTTGTTTTGTTGGGTTTTTTTTAACGCACCTCGGGTGGACATTGCAAAATATTGATACGAACAGTCAGACGGTAACAATAACAAGAATTGTCGGTTTTTCGTCCCATTAGAACGATCTGACGCCTTTACTGTGTCAGACGGAGACCCATCGTCCTGCACCACTGACAAGGAAGACCCGACAGGAAATCCCAAGGAATATGTTTTCGGCCAACGCCGGGATCGATACCGGTGATGCAGGGCAGCGCCCGGATGGGACGGAAAACCGAGGTCCCGTGTAGGGCCTACACGTTACTGTGCACGTAAAAGAACCATTGACAGTGGGACTTCGATATGAGAATAGGCCGTAGCACGAAGTTGGTGCAGAAAAGTAAGACGTTAACCACCATTTCATATTATTTCCGGGGGGGGGGGGGGGGGGTGGCCGTATGGTTAGCGCGTGCGCATTGTATCATTAGGTCTTCCATTTAGTCAGCTGGCGTGGTTTCAAATCCCCGGTTGTACGTGACAAGGAGTAGAGTCGCCTGTCCAACCTCGAGCGTTTTCTCCGGGTTCTCCGGATTCCTCCCTCTGCTAAAGTCCCCTAAGCGCAAGCACATTATTGAAATAAAATTGAACCATGTTAGTCCAGAAATGCCCGGGGGGTTGGATGGCTGAATGGTTAGCGTGCGATCGCGCTGTATCATAAAGTCTGTCATTGAGTCGACAGGCGTGGTTTCGAATCCCCGGTTGTACGTGACAAGGAGTAGGGTCGCCTGTCCAACCTCGTGGGTTTTCTCCGGGTCCTCCGGTTTCCTCCCACTGCTAAAGACCCCTACGCGCAAGCGAATTGTTGAAATAAAATTAAAAAACCATGTGTTAATCGTCCCGAAATGACCTAGTTTGTGTCGAGTGGACGTTAAACCCCATTTCTCTCTATCTCTCTCCAGAAATGCCCTAGTTTGTGTCGAGTGGCCGTTACCCCATCTCTCTCTCTCTCTCTCTCTCTCATATTATTTCTGCCTGTCACCCGGTTTTATGGATATTTTGAGGCGCAGTGAAAACGCACCACAGATATCACTGTGCATATTGGCGATCGAGATACAAATTCAGCTGAAATTGTGATTTCTGTTGGCACGATTTTAGATTTCTGGTGGTACGATTTTAGATTGGACCATTAGTAAATGATTTAGGGACACAAGAAAATCAACAGCAACTAACGGAGGCATAAACTACCTTTCTTTGTAATGAAACGTAGGCCTCGGCAGCGCGGACTCGGCCTGGTACCCACGTCCTCTTCAATTTCCGCAATGACGCGTTCTCTGTCTTCTGGTGTCAACCTTGGCGTATCGTCACGTCTCCCACAGAACTGTAGGGGTTGCACTGATCCTACCTTTGTTAAAGCCAAATTTGATGCCCTATGTCTGCACTATAAAATCTCAATTTTCAACATTCCATTCTTTCGAATTCATTTTTGCTTTTTTTTTAATTTGGGATCGGGAAAAATTTTCTGCGGTACGTTTACACGATTGTGAAAACACCAAGTTCACGTGCTATTGTCACCCAGGCCATTCGGAAAAAGCAGGGGACTATTAAAATGATTCGTCCGTCCATCTGTCCGTCATACCCCAGTCTGCTTCTAGAAATGATAACTAAAGGTGGTATCGATTGGCCCCGTATGCAACATCCGCTAAATGGATCGATAGTTTGGAACGTGACAGATTTCGTGGACTTGTTCTGAGAATTGATACACCATTGTTCGTGAGCCAAAGGCAAATTATTATTATTTTTTTTTATTTTTTTTTTTGTGGGGGATTGGGGTACCATTTTAATTTTCGACGTACATATAGCCCCCCCCACACACACACACACACATACACACACATCGAGTAAATTGGGCTATATTTATTTGTTAAGGCCAGTTCAATTTTCGTCAAGGTCGCTGTATAAATAAAGTTAGGGCACGTGATTGTTGGCGAGATTGTAGGTTAGGGTTAGGGTAAGCATTGGGCCTAGGTCCAGGGTTAGGGTTCGGATTAGCGCTAGCCCTGTTTACATATCGTGACCGTAGTAAACAGATCTAACCAGTAAATTGAAATAATTTACCTCAAATGTTTAATACTTATTGCACTCTTTATATAGTTCTAATTTTAAACAATTTACTTATAATTTTGTAAATAATTTCTTAGGGAAGACGAATTATACTAAAATCGTTTCAGATTCTTAGAAAGTCGTATACCGACATTGTTTTAATAAACGCTGCATTGATTATTTTATTAACCGCGAACGCCGTGTAAATATTTTCTTTTGTGTTTTTAGGTTATTTTCAAAGAAATTCATCAGCCTGGCAAGGGACAACTATCGTATAGTTGTTATGATTGAACGAAAAACCGAGGCCCCGTGTACACATTGGCGTGCACGTAAAAGATAATTTAGCAGCTGGAATTCGATGTAAGAGTTGGTCGTCGCACCGCTGTTCGGGCATAATTTCCCCCACTGCACACAGGCGTGTGTCCGTCTTCATAAGCCCAGTCAGAGCAGAACAATAGGATCTTAAATCCCATTTCATTTCATTTTTCATTTTATAATTTTGTAATAATTTCTTAGGGGAGATGAATTTGTATAACCCCCGGCTTATTCTCAGATTCTGTAATTGACTACTATATCTTTTTATATTAATATGTAAGCATTTAATGAATAAGTTAAAACAAAAAGACGGAACCACCTGTAGGCAATATTTCTTCAGGTGGATTTTATCCAATGCAATGTTTATTAAAATAATGTCGATATACGTCTTTCTATCCATCTGTAATATTTTAGTATAATATGCTGATGCATTTATTTAAAATGAACCTATTAAAAACACGAAAGAAAATATTTACACATGTACGATTATTAGAATAACCAATGCAAAGTTTATTAAAATAATAAACACACAGCATGCGCGGTTAATAAAATAATCAATGCAACGTTTATTAAAATAATGTCGATATATACGTCTTTCTATCAATCTGAAACGGATTTCAGTATAATTCATCTCCCCTACAAAATTATTTACAAAATCATAAGTACATTGTTTAAAATTAGAACTATATAAAAGTTCACTAATTATTATATAAATTTTTAAATTACAAGGAAGAATGGATATTATCAAAGAACCGTCTAGTAAGTAGGCCTACAGGTTGGTAGAACCGTTTGACAGTCCATGTCGTTATGATGTTCAGGTTAGATAAATTTGGAGAAATGTCTTTTGACATTGGTTTTGCAAGATTGGTATTTAAAATTTGTATTTGGAAATTGTTTGTTTGAGATTTGTTTTTCGGATGAAATGTAAATGTATTTTTTTTGATTTTCTGAAAGAATTTAATCATTACAATAAACAAAGATACAATTTACAAATCTGATTAAACAATGTAAAACAAATATTGATTATAAGAGTGTTATTTTTAGTACCGGTATAGAAATGTCGAAATACTACAACAAATGGAGAAATAAAAATTATTGACATGAATTAAGAACACTGAATAAAGAGCTGTCTGGTCTTCCATTTGTTAAAACTATATAACATGTCATTTTCGTTCCCTTAATTCGGTTGGTTACTACATTACAGGAGCTAAACCATAACTCAATCGTCGATATTAAAGACCCGAATTAGAATTTAATATGGGTCCATTTCAATCCATACTGGTGATGTTATTTTATCATGGAAATAAGGGCTCCTTAAAGGCTCAATACCACTCTTGTTGTAACTGAATAATATGTCCCAATCTTTATTCTGGTCAACAAATTGCACTATTTTACAATATTCCAATTAATTGATGATACAAATTTCATCTTAACACACCTAATTTTAAAAAATTGGAAAAATTCAACTAAATGATTTGAAAAGCCTTACGTAAAGCTTTTCAAATGTGACTTGGATTTAAAAATATTTTTGAACCCTCTGGACAAGTAAAATAGGATTTAATGGATAATTTACACAACAGGTAGGACACTAACACATCTAGTACTTAGAATAAGGCTATTTTTTATTTTCTGGAGCTGTCAAGCCAGCAAGAGTGTTATTGTCCCTTTAATATACTTAAAGATATTTAAGACACATTGAACATGTTAAAATAAGTTGCCGACGTCGGATTGCATATGGTGTCCAACACCAATTTTGGAACAAGACAAAACAAATCCCAAAAGTCAATGCATAAGTAATTTTACAAATGGAGGTTCCACAGGCGGCAAAAAGATAAACGCGTAACCAGATGCAAACGACATGCTTTC